ACTTATATTGAAATCACCACAAATTAACACGTTAGTGAATTCCAACTACCATGTGCATATCCAGGGTGATAATATTAAAAATGCCTATAGCCCATCCCTGGATTCTTATTAGAGATTTTTAAAAGAAATACTCAACACCGCTTCCCCGACTCCAAATTGTAAATTCACCTATGTGCGATGATAATCGGAAAGCTCTCTTTATTGCTATCATAAAAGACGCATTTGGATAAAATGTACATAATTTAATAAATATAAAAGTGTAATTTATATGATAAATTTATTAATTAAAAGACCCAATAAAATATTTATTACACATCTGCACGTGCCTGGTAAAGCAGAAGTTTGTATAAATAAGTAAGTTTAATTAAGTTTAGACGTTTGAACTTGATCAGGCTGTACAGACTCCGTTTGGGGCATACTGTTCTCACTCATGGGTATTTGTTGGCAGGTGAAGAACGGCCATTATGCGTAACAATGTGGTGTTAATTTAACACCACATCACATTATTTCTATCTGTCCGCAGTATATGAATGTACGTGTGCTATTTAATATAAACCCGATATGGGAAAATAACTTTAAAAATGAAGAGCAATGTACAAATACTCTCGCGTTCATCCAACAAATTGGTATTGCTACGAAGCCGTACACGGGCCACATATACACTTGGTGTTCTTCTTCTACAAAAAAGTGAAAATTTCGCCAAAAAAGTGGAAATTCCCATAAAAAAGTGGAAATTTCGACAAAAATATTTGATGGCCTTTAAAATGATGGGTCACTCGATGGGGCGGCGGGGGAAGGTCAAATTTCTGCTTTGTTGTCGCCGCTTTCACTTTTTTTCGAGATTTTCACTTTTTTGTCGAAATTTCCACTTTTTTGTTGAAATTTCGACTTTTTTGTGGGAATTTCCACTTTTTTGTAGAAATTTTAACTTTTTTGTAAAAATTTCCACTTTTTTGTCGAAGTTTCCACTTTTTTTGTCGAAATTTCCACTTATTTTTGGAATAAGAACACCAAGTGTGTGTATGGCCCGTGTACGGCTTCGTACAAACCATCTGTGATATTTTTAAATTTCTATCTTTATGTATATTTGTGTAGTAAATAAGTAAATGTAATCACGCCTGTCTTGTTTTGTGTGTTCAGAAACTGTGATATTATAGTACCTTAGTATAAGTATAAAGGCTAATGGCCATATATGCCGAAGCCTCAGGTGGGGTTTTAGTGGGTATACCCAGATAATGGGAGAGTCCCACACTACTCCAGACTTCTACCCGGAGTGTGCGTAATGCATTTCCCCACCTGTCCAGAAAAAAAAAATCCGTCGTTTACTATAACCAGGTAAATTGCATTACAATTGACATTTTGTTACCAAAGCATAACTGGAGGTGTTTTGTAATTAATTACGAAATGAACCTAAATAGATGGAGCTAACAATTACCCTGTAAGAGCATTTTTTAAGAAAAAATTGCAATTGTTTGCGTTTACCCGTCTCTCCAGTCGGGTGACATTTACTATACCTTTACGGAATTGTGCAATGCGCCTCCCCTTAATTTTGTTCAATTTTTTCCATCCTTTCCGATATGCCATTTCCGATTCTGCTAACCAATTTTTGAAATCCCTATTTGAAAACATCGCATCCTTATAATGGGAGTGCGAAAGAGTTCTAATGTCGACAATATTTGGTACTCTCTTATATTGCGATTTAGTAGGTAGGTGTGGATTCGATACCAAGATCCAATCGGTACTTTTATTACACCTAAATTTTGTTATTGAGATGGGATCAGTAAAAGTCCTGGGACAAATTGCTCGAACGTAAACTAAAACAAAAACACCAAGAAACCACAACTAAACTGTCTAAATGCGTAGTTTTATTGTAGTTTATTGTTTTTCTTCAGATCGTGTTTCTAACAACCATAAGAATTTCATAGTGTTCCCTCAAACTATGTATATAGGCCAAACCATGCAAGTGTTTGATTTTCTATACATATCTGTACAGGAAATTTGGTAGTGGCCGAGGGAAATTATATAGAAAAAGTACTTTCCCTGCTTCCGCGGGCAAATTTTGCAACTTTTCTTTCTGATCGCAGTAACACAAGTTTTTTCAAGAGGTTCGTTTTGAAATGAAGGTCCCGTGTTATAAAAAAGGGAAACAATTTAGACTTCGACTCCCCAGATTTATTTTAATGTGAACATAGAGCGTGAGAAATGTTTTCATCGTTGCATGCATTTTTGTCCACCAATAAAACGATATATTATAAATAATCGCCCTTTTTTCTAACTTACTCCCATTACCACAATCGTGATCTCCAATACACGCAATTTATTAAATTATGAACGCTCCACTTGGTGGTACAATTAAATGAATTTTATTCGAAGGTGGCCATTAGGAAATACCGCCATGATTAACAAATTGTAAAGTTAACCAAGTTCAGTTGCACGAAATGTTTTAATATTTAATAGAATATAAGCGTGTTTCCTAGTCAGACGTAAATTTCAGATAGCCCGATTATTAAATAAATATAAATTACCATTGGAGCTATCAATAATTTACGCGTGTTGTAGAAAAAACGAAAAGTTTCTTGTTGAATCGATTATCAATACCAGGCAAGTACAAGCACCGTAAAAATGTTAATTCCCGCTCGAAATTATGGCGTTATTACTTGCGCATGCGAGAGCAATCGTTATGCGTTCATGGGCTCCTAGTTCGAGCAGTAGCCGGGGAATTATTCCGTTTCCTTCCGCTTCCTTTAGAATGAAATAAGCATTTGTTTTCCGCCATTTTATAGAAATTCTGATAGGAATCTCTTCATTGCCATAATTTTACATTACGAGCAATATAAAGCGTTATTAATTACTTTAAAAGAGCAGCTCGTTGAGGTCTATCTACCATCTTTTTGTTTCTCATGGCTGTTAAGCAGTCATACGCTTGCGAAGATTGCTACCTTCATGCAATACGTAGATTTTTCATTTTGTATTATGTATCTTTATGGAAGTATGAATGGATGCCTTTGTATAATTGTTCCAATATTCCCAACCCAGTCATGATTAATGCGTGATATATTTGATTTTCGCGTTCATTTCCCCAGCCTAATTATAGAATTAATATTTCTCTTGTACGACCGTCAAAGAATATTATTTCTGTCTTCAGAGCGCGAAAAAATTTGGGAAATCTCCATTAGTACCCATTAGAGCTTCATAACAGTCCCTTAAATTATCCAATGTTATTTTATATCTTTGCTGCGGGCTGTCTCCCCACCCACAGGACCATCATGATCATGTCCAATTGTTTCTATAAGTGCCTAAGATTTATTTCAATCGAAAGTTCTTTGGAATTTTCAGGAGTTGATTGAAGTCCCCGAGTCCCTCAAATTGCAAAATTTTAAGCCAACATTAGTAAGTTTCAATTTGGATGTGTTTTGAGCTAGCTGGATAGGTGGGTGGTGTAGTAAATTTTAAAATTCATTTTCATTAGTATCTCCAAGCACGTGCAAGTTTTGCAATTTCTTTACAAAACCCATGGGAAAGTACTTACACCTATTTTCTCCGTGAATAGTCTAGAAAGAGAAACAGACTCGTACACTCTGTTTTCTTCTGTAAAATTTCGTCATTAGATAAACCCAAGAAAAAATGTAAATGTAATACATTTTCAAATCGAAATTGTCTCTTTCTTACACGTTCTCTCAAAACTGGAAGCCCTATAGAAATATTGAAGAAAAGGTTATTTTCAAAGTTTAAATAGAAACCGCATAGGAAAATAAGTCAGATGCGATGTTGGATTTTTTTGTAAGTTGATTTAGAGGCTGAAACGGTAGCCGTCGGTATGGGGATTGATCTAAATCCTACTCCAGATTTGTTTGAGTTTTCAATCGCTGAGCAAATGGAAAGAACTCACTCTAATGTGCTGTCGAAGAAACTATCAGAACGCACTTTTCTTTGCATCTTTTTATCACTAAGACCACAGATAAGCCGTTCATAAATTCGAACCATTTCTGCATCGGGTTGGACAAAAACTAAGACATTCGCATCTGAAGTCGAAAAATAATGGTCAACAGACTCACCTTTTTGTTGGTCGCGATGATGGAATTCTTGCGTGCCTAATAGTGGATTTCTTCACAGCATGGTACACTCAGAATCAAGGGCCGATCGAAGGATTTAATGTTGTGTATCTCGGTGGTGTTGGGGAAGTTGCTCGACACGAAAGTAGTTTTCCAGCGGAACTTCCAATCCCGACACTGAGGAATTGTCAAATTATCCGGTGAGGCAAGCCTTGGAAGTAATAGACTTGATGCAGTTCTAGAGGAATAATTTTGCTGATTCAGGGTCTGGGTGAAGGTGCGGACGAGTACCTATGGGTCCACATCTTTTAATAAGTGAGTAGGGACCAATTCCGGGTTGGGTGCCTGGGTAGCCGCTAATTTGGATCTCCTTCCTCTGATCATTTTTACAGGAAAACAGCAATATCTTATCACTTTCGCAAAATCACTTTTCGAGCACTTTAATTAACTCGTGGGTTAATTAACTAAATCGACTGCGCCATGTGGGAGGATTAATTGTGACGTAAAATTGAAGATAAAGAGATACTTGAGAAGAATGCATGATTGTGGTAGAGAAAAGCGATATGAAAGCTTTTTAGGGGAGTCGATGGTATCTGACCGGCTGTCAAACACGATAACTGGCAAACGCTTGTACCGATTCGGTTCCAACTGTTTAAACTTGAGCAACTTCAAAAATTTGTAGTTAATTTTATTATGTACACGTTAAGTGCTGATAATTTGAAGAAAAAGAATTCGTTGCCCCACTCATTTTTTTGAAATATTTGATTTATAAACTAACTTAACGAAAAAACTATAACTGCAAATTAGGGTTATCTTCTTTCACAGAAATTCGTTTTTTTGTTTCATTTTTCGGTCTTGACTTAGTTGTGGAAAAGAATTGTCACACCACTACTTTACTACTTTTCGCGCATGCTTAAATCTAACGCGCAACACCAGTTTTCTAGTAAAACTCGTTTCTAGCAGTTCATTGTTATTAAAGTGAAGTATTTTTCCTATGACATACGTTGTGCGCGTCGAAATACGTAATTTTACAGTAAGGATTGTTTAGTTGTTTCAAGTTTTGTGATCATTTTACTCTAGAGCTGCGCCATCTCTGGCGCACAAAAATATAGGAAAAGAACCAGAAACAACATATCAAAAAACAAAACCGAGGAAAAGCTGTTTATTGCATCCTCTTATGTTGTGGTAGCTGCGGAAAAAGAATTCTGAATCCTGAAAGCCCTCAGATGCGTGCACATTTACGAACTTTCACTCCCCCAAATAGAACCAACTTTTGTATCTGTGGATTTTCAACTGACTCAAAATTCCTAAGCAACACATACCTACAAATAGCAATAAATTTATAAAAATAAAGATTAAGACCGATAAGATACGTCGCCTTCAGAAAAAGTGGCAATTGCATTTTATGTATTTTCCGCAAAAGTTTAATCGTCCGTAACATTACAAAATGGTTCTGTAATCAAAACAAAATCTATAAATTCAGAAACATTGGCGATATTAACGAGTTTAGACCTACATGTGTGAAGACATGAAAATAATCCTTTTACTTACTTTCCTACTTGTCAGGGTGTTACTAAAGCAGGTACGAAATTTAAATAACGACGTCTCTAGCTAAAATTGCAGGTGCCTCTCGACATGAACAACATTTTTTTTGACGCAATCTCTGATGAGGACAACGAAGAGTGCAGGGAGAAGTCCGAGGTATCGCGACCTTACTTGAGCGAATCGCTACAGGCCACAACACTTCCTTTTGATCCAAGTTTTAAGGCATACATTACGTGCATCTACGAAAAGTTGGGTTTAATGCGAAAGAATGGGACCTTTAATAAAGAAAGGATTTAACTGTATATACCATTTTGTGCATCGGCTTTAGGCGGTGCTCCAAAATTTACCGATCGATCGCCAATGTCGTCAGAAATAAAGTGCAGATGTGTCGAAGCTCTATGTAATAACCTATTGATTCCTTACGTCAAAATTTCTCGAAAACGTATAGGTAGTGTCTGAGAAGGTACTCACAAATAGAAAATGGAAGGTATGTGTGGATGGGGAATTTATTTGTTTATCATTTTCAAGGTTCAAACTTTGTTCATATAAGTGCAGACCAAATTTAAATTGTTTGTTAATGAAAAATTCTTCTGCAATGTATGAGAACTAATTTGCCAACAAAGCTACCCAATGGAGCAGGCGAACTAAGCGGGAAAAATTGAAATAAAAATACCAACACATTAAGGAGTAGCTTAAGCAATCCCCGCTTAATAATAGGGAAAATTTGACCTATATGTCCGTTCTTTGATAGCCGGCAATCAGTTTCTAACTGCCACTTACTTGCTATAAGTTTGCGTGTATCAAAATAATTACGTTGGAGTGCCAAAAAATCTGCAATTTTTAGTGGAATAAATTCATTATAACTCCGCATATTCCGAACTGTCAATACAGTTAAAACAGGCTATAATTACTTAACTCTGCTGCGTCCAATATCCTATTCCCGCACGCAACTGAGAACCTAAAATTACGTGTTTGTACAACTGATATGCATGAATCTCTAATGGCCGGTGTGGAAAGGCAAACATTTCTTATTCAGCTACCTCTCTTGAATCAAATAAACACACTCATGAAACTAACCGCGCCACATCGTTTTCCGAATGCTGCAGAAGTCATGCCCGCAATATTAATTATTACCTTCAGTACGCATAAAAATATCCGAATAATTTCTATTAATTTTTCATGCTGTGCAGGTAATTGGCACAATTATAACCATAATCTGCATAGTAATCATCATTATGGCCGCCTTTTCCGTGTAATTACAGAAAAACTTATCGTGACTGCATTTGATTCCTAGCTCTATACGGTCACACTCATTAATAATGGAGGTATAGTGCTATCTGCTAATTTATTTCGACTTTTTGAAAGGCTCCCCCTTAAAGTTCTTAAAGGGCTTCAAGCAGTGAATTTGATAACCTAATTTCGACTGTGCGCTTAAACACAGTTATATTGAGAACTGTCATCTTTTATTATTTATTGTAAAATTAGATAATTCTAGTATTATATACGATGGCCATCATTTGCTCATTATTTAAAATTAGGCCTCTGTTCTACCTAGTAATTGATACTTACAGATAATTGCGCTCCCTGTTTAATGTTTTACGTTTTGGATCAATTACCAAATCTTCATTAATTGTTATTTTACTTACCTATTTTGTCATTTAATTTGTGGATCACTATTTCGCTTTTTTAAGGTAGATTTTTCTGGAGTAGAAACCAAGTAAAAACCGTTCTACATATATCTAGGTTTACATGTTGATGATGATATGTTATGGCCACGGAGAAAAATGTCCTCATACACTGCTGGGAGCGTGATGCCAAGCTTAGCTGCGTACAATACTGTGCAGCAAGTTGGACATTCATGAATCCAAGGAAAAGAATAGCGAAGTGCTTTATATCGACTGTTATGCTGTACGGATATGAAACGTGGACAATTTTAAAAAAAGTTAAGAAAAGAATTGAAGATATGGAAATATGGATTTGAAGAGGAATGCTTGGAATATAGTGGTCTGACAGGATTAGGAACGAATAGGTACTAGAAATAATAGGAGCAGGAATATCTTTGAATAACAGTTTTTAGAAGGAAGAGAATGTGGCTTGGTCAACGGTCATGTGCTAAGAGGGAATAGTTTGCAGAAAGACAAGATTGAAGGAACCATGGAGGGTATAAGGAAAAGAGGAAGAAGACAAGTGAAGATGCCATTTGGTGTTTAATGTCACGACGCGCAGCGGAGTGCCTTTAAATTTTTCAAGTTGGTAGTTGCAACATCCAAATCCAATAAAGTTTATTATAAAGAATATGAAATAGTATATTACGTAACGAGTGTTGAAAGCGAGTGTGAAAAGTGGCTTTCAAACGAGTCATGTACAGTATTTTTCCTACGACTCTCCATACAACCAAAAATCTACTTACATAATGAAACAAAAGTTATTTTTTTTTCGAACCAACTACTAAAACTATCTAAAAATACGAAATAGATTCAATTTCTCTTTAACGAACTGTTATAATTACTTTAGCAAAGACTAAAGAGGTACTCTTGTCGATTGGAGCTTCTGCAAAAAATTTACTAATATTATTAGACGTACGCTACTTTTCATACCTCAGCCGCACTTTAGTTGATAGTAATTCGAGTGTAGTGGATTTTGCCTCTTCCCTGATGTTGGGTGGAGTACCCTCTACATCCATGAAAGAACCAATTTCCGCCATTAAAATTAAGTAAGGAATTAAACGCGTAGCACAAGGGAATAAACTCAAGAATAAACTAATCGCAATTTTAGAGTTTGACGTACGCCTACTACGTTGATGTTACAAGAAGATTAGACTACTACGAAAGCAAAACGTAACATGCGATTTGCTTTCTAATATATGGTACATCTTATGAGAAAGCAAATCACACGGGTGCGTTTTGTTTTCCATTATATTTTGCCATAAATGAACGAAATTGTCAATTTTCAGGTAAACATAATTGTACGACATACAGGGTGACAATTTGAAAACTTACCACCCCTCATATCTTAGTAAATAAACGAGATATTTAAAAAAATCAAAATCCGTTTCGGTAATTCGGAGGGGGAATCACAATGACATAGTTGGCGACGCACCCCCTCCAACCCCCTGCGCCCCAGCCACCTCAACTTTTAAATCTTAAATAGTGACCCCCCATGTGTGATACGTCGTGGAAAGCTCTGAAAAAATGCTTTCCAACCATACCAAATAGCATTACATTTAGGTTAGTAATTATCGTGCAAATCAAAAAATAAACATGGAAAATCGTATTTAACTTGAACTTTCAAAGCCGACTTGACAGCAACTCATTTTTGATCGCCAGTTATAATCTATTCTCAAACTCTTGTCGAACCTTTTCAAATGTTGGTTTTGCAATATTTCGACATTCTTGAATTATTCTCTGTCTTAGTTCGTCTATGTTCGCCGGTTTTTAATACGACAGATTTCAAATGTATCATATTAGTTTATTTTTTGATTTGCACGATAATTACTAACCTAAATGTAATGCTATTTGGTATGGTTGGAAAGCATTTTTTCAGAGCTTTCCAACGACGATCACACATGGGGGTCACTATTTAAGATTTAAAAGTTGGGGTGGCTGGGGCGCAGGGGGTTGGAGGGGGTGCGTCGCCAACTATGTCATTGTGATTCCCCCTCCAAATTACCGAAACGGATTTTGATTTTTTTAAATATCTCGTTTATTTACTAAGATATGGGGGGTGGTAAGTTTTCAAATTGTCACCCGTATGTCATTTCCAATGAAAGTCGTAGGAAAAGTTATTTTCATGGATGAATAGAAAGCATCTTACGAACGAAGTCGTAATCAAATCGATAAGGCTGGCATATATGAAGAAAATGTGAAATGGATTTAAATTTTTTATCATTTGGTGCATTAATTAAAAACTTCAAATACTGCGATTAAGAAATGGAACAGTAGGCCAGTCGAAATCGACACAAAAAATCGCTAAATTCGCAAAACATGATGTATCTCTGATTTTTTAGTATGTTGTTTGGACCCATTAGAGTAGCGTATACTCAAGTTTGCAACTCTCTAAAAGTTGTGGAAAAAGTGTAGTATACGAAAAACCGCGAAATTTTCGGACTTTATGCAGTGTTTGCGTTATATTTCCTTAACTAGACATTTTTCGACGAAAGTCACTATATACGTTTTTGAAGAGTATTAAATGTATAACAATGACAATGATTGCATGCCAAATTTTTCTTTACCACACCAAAAAACAAAAAAATAGAAAGCTTTTGGAACATTTCTGGATAAATGCGATTTTACCTTATATCGGATATTTTGAGATTTAGAGACTACTACGAGACCTGCAGATCCCACTTTACGCTTAACTTAAAGCTAATTAAATTATCTACAACTTCTATTTTATAAGTTCTACTCGTAGGATCAATAGTTTAGCCGCAATTTCTATCTAAAGAAGGTGTAAAACTCAAATGTTCACTTTTTGGAAAAAAATGACTATCTTCAAAGTGCCGTAATTCGGTAACTAATTGACCTACAGAGCTCGGGTTAGGCGCAAATTGTTATACATTTAATACTCTTCAAAAACGTATATAGTGACTTTCGTCGAAAAATGTCTAGTTAAGGAAATATAACGCAAACACTGCAAAAAGTCCGAAAATTTCGCGGTTTTTCGTATACTACACTTTTCCCACAACTTTTAGAGAGTTGCAAACTTGAGTATACACTACTCTAATGGGTCCAAACAACATACTAAAAAATCAGAGATACATCATGTTTTGTTGATTTATTGTCGATTTTGACTGGCCTACAGATTTGGCAGCATACTTGAAATTACATGCGTTTGTGAAAGCTTTAACTTTAAAAACAAAACATAGGTACAAGCATTGTACAAGCCAAAGAAATCTTTTGCATTTGCAGAAATCGACCTGAGAGAATTTTTTCAGACTCAGATGACAGTTTCATGGTGTCATTGAAGTAACATTATCTAGCAAATTAAAGCACTTGTGTTTTAAAAGATCGATTTCTCATGGAGATTGTTATTCAGGTACAATTAAAAATTAATATTAGATGTGGCCTAAACATTCCACGGCCTTCTCGGAATCAAAATGTTGTCGGTCACACCTTGCAATGCTAAGGAAGTTTGCTTGTTTACATTTTTAGAAACACATCTCCCCAATTTCGTCCTCGTTGCCGTTGTTCAAGTTTTCCAGTTAACTTTTACCATCATT